GTGTAAAAAAAATAAATTTTGAATAAAAATATACATAAAAGTTATTTATATTTTAGGCTGCGAATTGAAATTTCGCTTTAGGCCCCCAAATACGTTGACCCGCCCTTGTCAAAGAGATATAGGGTTTATGGAAGCTAATTGGATAGAGAGAAATGTATAAATAATAAGAAGAAGAAAAAAAAGAGACTCAAAAAATGGAGAGGAATAACAAAGACATGTTCATAGCTATTGATGTAGCAAGTCACCTAACACCATTTTTCTTCAATCGAAACCGCCAACCACGACTTCTTTTTTCTATTGTATGCCCTATTAAACACTATTCTCTCTGTTTTATATTAGTTAATAATCAATTTTTTATCTGACATATTAAAGATATCACGAAAAAAAGAAAAAATGTATAAGTATCTTTTTAGATTGTGATCGAAATTTCAGAGACATACTTATCTAAACTAAGATCTTATTATTCTCGTGATATTTTTTTTTTTGTAATTTTGTGAGTAAAGGTTCAAAATATTGTATCACCTTTAGGTTAAGACTCAAAGTCATTTTTTGAGTTTTCGCATGAAGCACTAATAATCCCTCGTGTTTGCAATATTGGTGCACTTTGAATGAGGACCAAAAGTGCACCAATAATGCAAACATGAGGAATTGTTAGTGCTCCATGTAAAAACTCAAGGATGACTTCAAGTCTTAAATCAAAGATGAGAGACTATTTTGGACCTTCTCTCTAATTTTGTGCATCTTTTGTCTTACGTGGCATACTTCGCGACTCCACGCAATTGAAGCGTGTGGGAGATATTTGGATGCCACGTAAGTAAAAAAGGTGAACAAAATCACAAAAAAAAAATAAGTTCAGGAGTAATAGGATTTTAGTTTAGTTAATGTGTGTCTCTAAAATTTTGATCCAACTCTAGAAAATACTTGTGCATATTTAGTGAATAAAAAGATAATATTTTTTTGAAGAATTAATTGTAAATATAATATAAAAAATTTAATTAATATTTTTTTAATTTAATAATATGAATAATTAATATGATCAATAAATATAGGACATAGAGGAGTACCTTATAGAACACTCTTGGCATAAAATTTGGCATTAGCTATGTAGCTTTTGATTACCATTTGGATATTTGTGTAAAATTCGAAATTAAAATGCATTACTTTTGTTTGTCAATTTTATAGTCTCAAATAATATATTGATAGTCTTGCATTATCTATGTAATATATTATATTTTAATATAATAATATATCGTATGATATCAGAAGTTGGTAGAAAATGATTGGCAATGCATCTGAACTAATCATGTGAGCAGTTAGACACTTCACATGTATATAATGTGCTCTATCAATGAATAGTTGTTCATTATCGATTTGATACATTTTAGAAGAAATAATAAATAATATTATTATTTTATTTTTTAATTTTATTAAATTTAATATTTTGAAAAATGTGTTAGATGCTAAATAGTATTTCATAGCTATGGTAACATAGAAACAAAAGATGAATTATCTCTTGATTTTCTAAATTGAACAAATATTATTGGACAATTATCTTAGTATAGTGGACAATTATTGTTGAACAAGAAAATATATGACAACACTTGCATCCGAACTTGTGATATTTTCAACAATTGAGATATTAATGTAGTTGTCATTCTATTTTAATTAGAAACGGATTTATAATTTGAAAATTTCGGGTGTTATATTAATAAAAGCGTAAAAGATGAAAATATACTCAAAACTGAATGTTATCCGTACAAAAGTTTATAAAAATTTATTATATTTGGTCAATGCTACACCATTGTCTGAAATAATAAATATGATGCACATAGAGATAGAGAAAATCTAATTTTCTAAATGGCAAGTGAATCACCAAGCTTCTAAAGTATATTGTCATTGACAGAGATAAAGAGAGCTTGCTAGTGCTATTATTTGCATCACATGTATACTCAATAGGTGTTATAGGCCGATCGAATAAAAAAATTAATAATATCATGATCACAAAATATGAAATGAACCTTACTAAATCAATGTCTCAAAATTTTACTAACTCTTAGAAAAGGAGAAGAAGAAAACTAATCGGAATCAATAGATATGAAAACACAACAAACATCAAGTAAGGAAGACGGATGGAAAAAATACAAAGCAATGCAATATCATATTTTTGTCCTTCCTTTTTAATTGTCATCATAAAATTTAGCACAATTTTTTTTTTAAAAAAAAAAGAAAAAGCAATAAGGAGAATTGTTTAATACATCTCTTATTAATTCTTTAATTTTTATTTATATATATGTCTCTTAACTTTAAAATAATAAATATTGATGGTAAAAGAAATTAAAAAGTTAATTCTCTTTTATTTGTTTAAATTGACAACTATAGTACTTTGAATCGAAAAGAATTATACAATGTCAAGGTCTAATTGTGTGACTGCACATTAATAATTTTTTTTAAAAAAGTGGTCACTGCTACCACTAATTTATTAGTTGCTTGTGCTAAATTGATAGTTAGGTTAAAAGAGTGAGTTAGATGACACAATGGTCACTCTCGTTGATTTTTTCTTTAAATCATTTTGAACTAAATTCATAAAAGTCTGAATGAATTAGGCCAATCATTTATTTCACGGATTAATTTGATCACTCTAGTCAATTAACAGATGTGTACAAATATTCATTTTTGGGGTCGATATTTAACATGTCTTATAAAATTATTTACTTTTACAAATTTACTCCTTTTTGAAATAGTCCAAACATACTCAACTGAGATTAAAATTTTGAACTTGCAATACATACATAAAAGTTGTCTTAAATCACAAACATGTGTATCTAGATTTGCTTTTCCAAATGAATTCGAACTTACTCCAAATTAACTCGATTTGAAAAAAAAAAAGACGGATATCATAACGAACAAATATTAATCATTAATTTATAAAAACAACAAAAAATTCTAGTAAAGATCATTTAACACTGTTTTTGTTTTTTATTATTTAAAGTATGTATGAGTTTCATCATACACAAATGAAACACATGCTTAAAATGACTAAGATTTTATGTGTTTAAACGCATAACCAAAGTTCCTTAAATCAATAAGATTTTATATAATTCGATCACGTCAATCAATTTTTTAAATAAAAAAATTATAATTCTGAAAAAAAAATGAATTAATTTTTAATTAAAAAATCAAAATTTTGAGTAAAAATTAAATTATTTTATTTTATTTTTTAATTAAAAAAATTGATGACGTGACCGAATTATAATCGGTCTCGTATCAAAAATAATTTTGCAAAACCACCTTTAAAAAATAATGGCATGAATGAGCATTTTCTTTAACGGTAATGGCATAAACGAATCAAACTTTTAACTGATGACATAAATGAGTCTTTTCAGAAAATTTAATGGCATATTTGAGTCTTTTCCCTTATTTTTATACAAATCCTTTCCTATTTTTCTCTTCCAGTTTCTTTTGATTTCTCCTAAAAGCTCTCGTCAAATAATTTTTTTTAAAAATTAAATTATGTATGATTTCCACTAATATAGATTTTTAATTATATAAATATTACACTAGCACAAAATCATATATATAGATTTCACTTATACATATACATATATGCATATACATTTGACAAAGTCTACTACAAAGAACATATACATAACTATTAACAACTAATACAAAAATTTATTTATATACAAATTCCATATATATAAAACGTGGAATATACAATAATATATTTATATATACATATACATATTTATATTTAAATACATATAATGACATATACATATAGAACTAAAAATCACCACCAAAAAAATATATACTTATACAACTTACAGGCAAGTAAGTTTCTTGTTTGTATAAAAATTTCAAATATATATTTATACAATTGGAATGAATACAAAAATATACAAATATATAATCTTCATATACACTTACAATTATACAATACAAGTATTTTCCTTTTCAAGTCTGTTTTGTCTTTCTCTATTTCTCGTTTTATACAAATTCAAATTATATATAATCTCTCTTTTTCTCATTTTATACAATTCCTTTTATATAATTCGCTTCAATTGTATATGTATAGCGAATTATACATATATATGTTTGTCATGGAACGCAATTATGTAAAATTTGTTATAGCATACAAATATAAATTTTATATTTGTTATATGTGAAAGTTGCCCTATTTTATATCATTTTCTAATAAATATTAAGATTTGTATATCATACCTAGACGATGTATTCCCTCAGTTTGAACCAATGGAGTCTGTCAATTTGATGGCCATCAATTTTATTTCTCATTATTTGGCCTTTTTCAGTGGTATGTGCCTTTTAATGAGATTCCTCGCTAAATTTCGTCTTATTTTTTCAAATCTAAACATACATAGTTCGATAAATATTCTATTGGAGATTAAAAAATGTCAATCGTTTACAACTTAAATAATCAAGACTATCAAGTGCAATGTTAACTCAACGGATTATTTTAAACCTACACTCAAATATAAGAGACCATTTTTGTCTATTTATAGAATAAAAAACTGTTAAGTGCATGCTACTCATGAAACATAAAAAGACCAAATTTGTCATTCCAAATTCCCAACTTCCTTTTCAACTTTAATTCCTTGCTTCATTGGTTGGTCATCCCAATTATTTTTCACCATTTGATTGAGCACGTCTTCATTTAATTTTTATAAAAACAAAGTTGAATGAAACTTTTGACACACATCTATAAACACTTGACATGATAAATATACCTTCCTAATGAAACATATTAAAAATGATTCACAAATGCATCAACACTTTGATCTAAAAATACCATTAATATTTATTTTGGATCAAATATATCCCTAAACTAACATGCATCACCTCAATTTTTGGGTACAACATCATCAAGTATTTGCAACAAATATCAACCACACCCTCTCAAAAACTACCAACAAGTTGCAGACTTCAAACAAATCTTTAATATTGAATCTTCAATTATTCAAATCTAGTGTGAGAGATAGGGATAATGCTCCAAAACAAATCAAAGGGTATGCACCAAGAATACACATTCTTATTTGATACAAAAATATGGCAAAATCAATTAATGATAGAAAAACATAGGAGAAACTGCAGCGGGGAGGGAGAAGAAAACACACACACACACACACACACACACATATATATATATAGAGAGAGAGAGAGGCAACTGGGGAGGTTAATTAAGCTTTCAGTAAATTATCATCTAGTAATTTCTCGGTATATCTGAGTGGGGCTGGGCGGGGTGGGGGGTGGGGGTGGGGGAAAGGGGTCTGGGGAAGTTAATGAAACTTTCAGTAAATTGTCTAATAATTCCTGGGTATTTTTTGAGTATATATAAGCTCCACCGCAGTGTACATCATAGAGAAAGCACTTTACTCATAAGAGTTGCTTTTACCACAAGCTTATTCCACATGTGAAAAGCCTCCGCCAGTCTCAGCCTGAGTCCTGCATACATAGGTGTCATCGTTTAGTTGACTCATGGATTGTTGCACAAGAGAGCAACACCAAATTACAGGAATTCAACAGGGGACAGGAAAGGGGTCACAAGGGAGATGCTAGGATTATATTGCACCAGAAAGGAAAGAAGGCTGCAGCTTGATTTACATTTATATATGGGGAAGAATGGATTATAGAAGGTGAGTAGATTTGTGCCAAACAACATATAACTTGCTCATAAAAAAAAGATCATACAAACATGGTCACGAACATTTTTATGCCTCAATAAATGCAGGACTTGCTCAGGTTAAAAGTACAGAAATTCATTCCAGGAAATGTGTGGCATTAATTATGAGAGCATTGTGCTGACATTCTCATCAAGCTTGGATTCGGGCAAAAAGGTCTTGGTTTTTGCCTTCTTTCTGTAAACCTCTCCACCTCACTCATGTTAGAACTTCCATCAAAGTTACAAAAGCAGAAACAGAACCACCTTGTGGGGTTATCATGGAAAAATCGAAAAGATTTGGCATAGCCTATCTTTCCTTGCAGGGTTGACACCACACATTTGAACAGACAACTGTTAGGTCAGTGTCCCAAGACCATCTGCTTAAGCTACTAGCTGTTATGAACAGGATTGGTTGAAATTTTCTAGTAGACTCTCGAATCTAAAGGGCTCGGGTTGATAGGACTAAGACACAACACTTGAAGTGCAAGTACAATGACGTGACTTACGAGGCAGATGTGGACGTGAAGATCGTTACACAAGTCGTCTCTAAGAGAAAAGGTTTTAAGTATTTTGGGTCAATAATCCAAGGAAATGGAAAGATTGACAATGTTGCACATCGTATTGGAGCTGGGTAGCTGAAACAGAGGCTCGCATTTGATGTATTGTGTAATAAGATTGTGCCACCAAGACTTAAAAGGTAAGGTCTATAAAGTGCTTGTTAGACCAGCTATGTTGTACGAGGAAAGTGTTCCGAACAAAAACTCACACGTCTAGAAGATGAAAGTAGTGGAAATGAGGATGTTGAGATAAATGTGTGCGCATACTAGGACATATAGGATTAGAAATGAAGAAATTCGGGAGAAAGTGGAAGTGACTTTGATGGAAGACGAGACGATGAAAGCAACGTTGAGATGGTGCGAACATGTGAAGAGGATATGCATAGAGGCCTCACTGAGGGGAGGTGTGAGAGGTTGATCGTTGAAGGAAGATAGAAGTGGGTTGAAGAAGTATTGAGGAGAGGAGATTAAACAGGATATGGCACAAGTACAACTTATTGAAAACATTCATAGACAAAAGGATATGAAGGTCAAAATCTGGGGTAGAAAGTTAGTAGGTAGTCAACACTGTCTAATTTTTCTTATCAATGTTCTTATTATTGCTCTCCTATAATCTTATTCTTCGATTATTATTACTAGTTGCTTCCTTTGCTGGTTGTCGTAGTAGTCGTTTCTAATGTCTTTTCTGACGCTGTTACCATGTTCCTGATATTTTTTCCCTTTTTTGTTTTCTAGAAGTAATGTAAATGTACATGTGGAGAAGTTTAAGGCTGGTCTATGCAAGTCAATGAAAAAAAGTACAGTGCACCAGGCTAGTACACTTTCTGTTGAAAAGCTTAAGCGTTATCCACAGCCAGCAAAATATGTAACCACCTCATGCATTTAGGATTGAGAACACTAATAGCCCCTCCACCAACTTATTTAATGTTATTTCTATTTTTGGGGGCTATCTCAAAATATTTGACAGTAGAATTATTCCAAGTATTTCAGCTGGAATAACCATGTATCTGTGGTATTCTTAGTTCCTTAACAGTTGGAACAGCTATGTATCTATGGTATTCTTAGTTCCTTAAAAGTTGGAACAGCTATGCATCTGTGGTACTCTTAGATCCTAAAAAGTTCCCCTTAATAGCAATAGGGGTGCACGATTCAGCAGGTGCAATCAACCATGCCCCTACTCTTTTCTCCTTTACTTTAGGGGAGCACTAAAATGCAACTTCAATCGGATGCGGGTATCAAATCCTGCCGTTGAGATGTCCATCAACTAATAAAATTATTTTGAACAACCTTTTTGATAAGTAAAGTAATTCTGTTGAAATTATTTGAGCCAACTTTTAGAGTTTCAAGAACTAAAATTCATTTGATAAATAATAGTTTAAATTTGATGTGATAATTTCTCAGCCCTTTCCAAAAATTACAATAGTGTCTTCTTCTTCCACTACTTTATATAATAAACAAATCAAACAAACACTTCAACCTCCATGCTATCAAAGAATGGGATCGAGGGAGTTTTAGACTGATACTCAATATGCAGTGATCTGACATCAGGGATTGCCAGAGTGAATTTCATAGTGATACTCAATATGCAGCAATCTAACACGATTCAGATTCTCTCTAAAATTAGACATGATGACTACCTGAAGGGATTTTCTCTTAATAATCAAAGATGCAACTAATAATTCACATCCTACCAAGTGAACCTTTTCAAAAAATCCAAAAAATAACTAATGTTGAATTTGCATTCAATTGAACTGCCAAAGTAGAAATTAACAGTATAGAAACTACACACACAATATCTTTATAAAAGGGAAGACAGCAACTTACTTGTGATCAGAGGGGTTAGGCATAATCTCATAAACAATATTTGCAACAACGTCCCTCTTCATCTGTACACAATTATTTTGGAAGCAAATCAAGATAAATATCTGAAGCAAGTTACCATGGAATTCAAACATATTTCACTAAAGATACCTGTGTGGCTTCTCCTTTCAAGCCAATATACTGTATTCGTGTTGTATCAGCACCAAAATTATCAGGGAAATGCAAAGTGATATTTCCCACACTTTGAAACCTAGAATACCTGAATGGATATTAACAGACAGCATGAGACAACCAAAATAGATCAGCCAGAATATAAACAACCTTCTATAACAATACTCTGAACAATTTTGCTCAAAGAAAATATAAGAAATATTATATTAAAATGATTGTACTTATGAAATATAAATGTCCATGTGTGCACAATGCACATGCATGCATTGGAACAATTCCGAATTGCAGCTACAAAATTGACACAGACTATGCAGCAGCAATTTTATGGATAAAGGAGCAAAATACCTCGTCTGGTACTCTAAAACTCCTTGCAAATTCTCAGCTAAATCCCATTCCTTACAAGTAAAATGAATATCAGAAAAAGTGGTTGGTAGAGGAGGAGAGTTATATTCAAGGCCTCAAAACTTTCAAAAGCTAACTTAAAGAAGATACCTGAACAAGACTTAACAAAAAGAACAAAGATATATATACATATATATATACACAGACACACACATAAAAAAATACTATATAAGTACCTGAATCGCTTGCATAGATTGAGCATCTGAAAAATCAATGCCATCTCGATTGACGAATCTGGATGAATTGCAAAAGCATGTTTGAGGAGATGAAGATAGAACTTCTAGCATGCATGTGTTTTGAAAGAAGAGTATATATGCCTGGGATTTCAAGAAATTTGTTGCAAGTGCAAGCAGCCTGAATGCACTAGCCAAAAGAAAGGGAACATATACAAGATCCTCTCCAACTACAATCTACTGCTCAACAACTTTACCAGCAACTTATGGACTGTATAATGCAAGAAGTGTTAATAATATACTCACGCCCTCATCTTAGATGGACTTGTTCCATCAGCACCACCAACAATAGCTATGCTCTTGATTTTAACATCAGCTGTGAACCTATGATTAAAATCAGCCAACTATGAATGTAAGATGATAGTAACAATGGAGGTGCTGGATGATTAAGAAATGACAATCAAAATTTACAGACACTTTTCCGTTCTCAAACCACTTTGAAGATATACCAGTTCCCCAATTTCAGTAACATGATCACACAATTTGATATTACCTTTTTTGACAAGTGATGACGGATTTTATTATAAGGATATCAAGCACTAAGCTAGTGCTACAAAATATTATTACATATTGTGCAGTTCCTCAATTCTATCTAACATAACATCGAAGTCTCGTCTAAAATCTAGGTTGCACCAATAAGCTAGCAAAGGAAAAGCTCCAGATTTAAGGATAAGAATGTTTCCTTTATGGCCACCAATAAGCTAGCAAAGGAAAAGCTCCAGATTTAAAGCTAAGAATGTTTCCTTTATGGCCTAAAAAAATCTGTTGTTCCTTTCTGTCTAAACAGAAAAAATGCTGTAGAGAACCATTTAAATATCCTATTGACTGAGTCAAGTTAACTTACGGATAAATTTCTTTTATTCTAATAAAAAAGAGAGCTAATGCCGGAATAAATGAGCAATAAGAGACAGTAAATTTCATGCTACATGATATGCAAAACAATCTAGCCCTATACAGTCTTTTAAATTGAAAGAAGAGGAGAGGAAAGGGGTACATTAATTTTTCTCAGTTGATTTTTGGGAGCAGATAAGCTGGCAGAAAGAGAGAAACGGAGATAAGGCAGAAGGAGGAAAGGGGTACCCTAACTTTTCTCAATTAATTTTTGCTAGGAGATACAGGCAGAGAGAGAGAGAAAGAAATGGAGATAAATGCCGGTGAACAAAGTGTCATGTTTTGTTTTCGGAGTCTACATGTGGGTGAAGACGGAGAAAAAGGAGGAACCTCAAGACAATGTTTTATAATGCTATATAAGACCTTCAAATTATTATCAGGAGAAATACTTCATCAAGGGAACAAGTATGAAATGGCATTCTGATAAGGAACGTATTTTTCATACTTATTCAAGAAGGAAGAAGTGAAGAAAGATAGGAGCAGATAATGATTTGCATCTTCTCAAATTCCTGGAGGTTTCACCCATGGAGCAATGAACAGTTCCTTACCGTTATTTAGAGTTATTTGGCAGTTCTTTATGGTTACTAGAAGTTATCTATCCTTATCCTAAATAGTTATGAAGTGGTTATAGTTATCTATTATATAATAGGAGATCTAGGAAATAAGTAGAGGCGTGGTAATGTATCTTTTATATGCAGAAAAGGTTGTTCTAAGAGATAAGAGATACTTGTCTCCCTTTGTATTTCCTATTGTTCTTCGAGATACGAGATACTTGTGTCTCTCTTTGTATTTCTTGTTGTTTTTTATTCAGTGTTAAACATCGGTTTCTATCACATTCACTCCTTTCTTTTCAGTCACCAATCAATCCAAAAGGAAAAAAATTGTTACTCCTCTCCCTCCTCACCTTTTTTCCATTTACTCTCATTGTTTATAATAGAATTAGAACCAACCTTATAAAAAAATCATCCTCTTATTATCAACAATGTATTGTTTTTGGGTTCTTGGTCATCATCCAGAACTTCAAGACTTTGTATCAATTATTTCTCTCTAAAAGATTTTTCCTTCATTTTCCTCAAAGAAACAAGTGCCCTTAGGGGTAAAAGGATTGGAACAAACAACATCAAACGATGTTCAACAAGAAAGAAAAACTTGTAATTAGGGAAATAACTAAAATAGGAAAAGCATCCAGAAAATTCAGTACTTTAGTTTTCTATTCAAATTACATAGAAATTATACCATCAGGTACTGAACATTTGCTGGGACAAGAGCCCTTTTTGAAGGTGACTGAGAGACGTGGAGGAAAAGGAATGTCAAAATGCAGGGTGAAAGGGATGCAGCCCAACATAAACAAACCAGACTTTTGTGCAAAAGCTTAATAAATAACAAAATTGACACTTACGGAATGAAAACAATCAGTTCTGGATCACCTTCATTGCTTTCCAAGTGGCCCTGTACCAAAGAACAAATCATAGTATAGAGACATCCAAAGAGAGAGAAAAGGACAAAATTTTGAAAAATAATGGCAAGTTCATATATATATATATATGAAACACACATATACAACTGTGTATCAAAAAAGAGTTCATTTTTTAACCACTATTTGTTAGCACTATGTCACCTTTGTTTAACCAATTCGATGAAAGACGATTATTAGTTGCTACTATCAGAAAGAATATCAGTAGCCATGAGGTATTCCTTGGTTTATAACCTTCCTCGATGATCTCATGTTAGCAAGTTGAATGTTAGCGAAATAGTCAATGATCTCACTTTTTTTATGAGTCTGGTGTTTGTGGTTTTGATGCGACAATAAGATGTAATTTGTAAGAAGTGATTGTGTTGGTAGGTTAATTTGTCACATATTACTCATGAAAGACAGAGATTGGTATTAGTCTGGATACAGCACATCATTCTTTAGATCTACTTAGTATTTTTTACCAACTCAAAATTGCTCCAAAGAGAGTAGAAGATTGAATGATATATAAAGATCCAGAAATAACAAAGCACACCAGCAAGCAGCAAAACTCTGTCCATCGTACAAACCTATTAAGCTTACCCGAGAAGGGAGCAAACTTTGCTACCATTTGGTTAAAGTGTCTCACAGGTACTAAAAGAAACCAATTTCAAAATCTACTTTTGGATATTGGGAGAGGTTATGTAGAAAAAGTTCTGTTTTTGAGAAGAATAATGTTGCAAATTTGAACACATATGACTTTATACATCTTTTTATCTATTGGCAGACAACTTCTCTTCCAGCCCAGGTAGACTTCTCCATCTTGTTGATATAACCTTATGTTCTTACCAGACTATGAAGACATGAAAGAAAGTAAAAGAACATAGAACTAACAGAAAGTGGAGGCCTTGAATGTGTAAAAAAAGAAAGAAGAAAATCAAGAAGGATGACAATTTAAAACTACCTGAGACTATGAGACTTTTAATTACACTAACATCTAGTTGATGTTAAAAGCTAAGTTGCTCGGACTCTCCAAAAATGTTGCCCCACCCTTGTCAGATCCTCCAAAAATGCACTACTTTTGAAGGATTCGACATGCACCGATGACAGTTTTGAAGGTTAAAAGTAATATGGTGAAGAAAGATTTTCATGTCAAGCAAACACTGTCAGCTAGATGCACTTACACATTGTTTTTATCACAAAAGCATCACATATATGAAAGGAATTTCTCCTTAAATCAAATAATTCTTTCAGATAAAGGTCAATCTAGAAAGCAAAGTCCAAGGTACATGTGTTAAGGGATATCATCACATCAGCTAATAGTAGGTTTAAAGGATATATATAATTCCAACAAGCACCAATTAAAACATGTTTGTTCATTTCAACTGGATCACTATGATCAGAAGACTATTGAAACTATTTATCTTGGAAATTATATCTGAAAAAATTAATCCAATATATTTCCTGCACAGACCAAGTCATCACTACAGAGTACAGACTACACGATAACAAAGTAGAAAGCCAAGAATGATGATTTTTCTAGGTCCAGTCATTTTTTTACTGAAATTACCTCTGAAGAATTCAAACGCTGCTCCCATGGTTTAAAAACTGATTTGACACTTCCCGTGACAGCCTCATTCAAAGCAGACACCTTTTGGCAACACAAAATGAAGTGTAAAGAAGTTGAAGAAGCTAAGAAATCTATGCATAAGGTAATGTGAGAGTGTGAAATTAAAGAAGCACAAGTCTGAAGTTTAAATCCTATTTCTAACAAGGCAACCATAAATGACAATGACACTGCCATTTTGATTTGAAATTTGTTCCATTTTGACAAGTAACTTCCTTACAACTTTCTCGGCCCTTAGAATTATACATTTATAAAATAGATGATCAATTTACCATGACCAACACACCAAATTTCTTGTTAAAGGTATATAGTGACACTATCTTTAGAACCACTCAAGACTCATTCAATAGAAGTTGTGTTGTCCACTAAGTGTTCTATCCCCACTCACTCCAAAACATCAATTTTGTATACATATAGAGCTTAACTAAAAAACAGAAGGCACAAAATAACTCTAAATTTACTACACGGGCTAGTTGCACTTGCACCTAAAGGTTCCAACTTTAGATCATAATAGAAATACTAAAACAAGGGTTGTTCATTACAATACTAATACTAAAAACCTCCCCATTCCCCCGATTCCAACAAAACTGAAACCCTATATGGGAACTGACACTACAATCCTAACAGAACAAAATACCTAGCAGCTTTAATGTGCTGTATGAAACAATCGGATTGCAGTTCAATCAAGAATTAAAAAACCAACAACCCATTAAATCCCAAGTCGCCAAATATAGTTGCGTCGAAGTGGGTTTATCCAGTATTAAGAATATATATTTAAAAAATCCATGGGGAATCTGAAGGGTAATAAACAAGAAAACACGCACTAAAACACCTTTGGAAGGTCGATATGCTTGAAGAGAGACCAATCAGAGGAACAGTTATGGTCGGCGCAATCGTGATCGTGCAGGCAAGCCATCCTTTGAGCAACTGATTTTCTCTCAATTCCAAATGAAAGCAAACGCTAGGAATATAACTTCCTTTTCTTGATGGCTATCCTAAAATTGTCAGCAGTGTTATATTTCTGTCACTCTTTTATTTATCCTCCAAAGTCATCTAGGAATTGGATCAGAGGCAAAACTCCAATCTCCGCAAAAAAATTACACAGTATATAAAATAAATTTTTTATATTTTTATACGTATATTATTATCTAATAATTACACTATTTTGTATTTATATTGTCAAGTAATTATACTAAAAATTATAAAGTGTAATTATTTTATGCCAATTACATCAATTACCTATCAACTAATTACTTATCCAATCAAACAGAAGAGACAATATAATTACTCTCAGTTACACCAAATCAATAGGGTGTCCTTCAGACCTTAAGTGTCCAATATTTGAAAAATATTTATAACATGTAGCAATATTATTCTTCTTTAACTATATACAACAATTTAATTAAATTAAATAAAGCATTGTTCTTTTATATAAAAAAAATTCTCATCCACTATTTTCTCTCTCAATGTTTCTCTCAAAATTCGTTGGTATTATCTCTAAGTCTTCTTCTGTGCGATTTTCTTTACAATCAGGGGCAATATTTACTTTCCTAGCTTCTTAACCACAACTTTCTACAACATCAATACTCTAATTTTTTTGTTTAGAAATTTAGTGATGTCTATTTTCTGTTATTATCAAATTATGAAGTATAAGTGAGTGCAAATTCGAATCAATCAGTGAACTGTGACTTTCGGGTGCAAAATTATTGTAACACACTGAGAATTATTCTAAGTTAAGACCCAATGATTTTTTATTTACATGTAAGATCGTAACAGGTGATTCTTAAATTGACCATACACGTAAAAGTAAATTCTTTAGTGTGTGAATGATTGTGGATATTAATTTAAGTTGAGTGAAAAATTTTCATACCGATTAAGTTTTAATTTAAGTTTATCTTTGGATCAACATCAAATGAACACATCTTTTGGAATATAAAGAGTTGCATGTCTCATGACCTATCAAATTAAGGTATTTGAATCTTTTCTCCAATGCCACTAATTTTGCGTCAATCCAAGTCTTGAGTATTAAAAGTTATGATCATTTTAGTAACTAGATACAATGAAGTGATGAATTAGCCAACAGAAAAATATTAAAAATAGTCTTTTTACCTTTAAGAAACCCCTAAACGGTTTTTTTTTTTGGCTAATTAAAGACCTAAAACAATCAGGTTTTCATCTCTTAATTCATCATTCTCTTCTCTATCAAACCTTAAAGAAAAATCAAAGTAAAAGACTTCATTCAAGATTCTTCTTCAAAGTAAATCTTTTTTCAAAATTTTCATTCTTTCCAACTCAAATTGTTCCATACAATTTTCTTGATTGTTTACATTCAAGATAGAGTTTCAGGGCTTCTAATCAACCTCTTCTTCAAGATTCTTCAAGAACATTATTCTTTCATGTATGTAAGTCTATCATAGTGTTGGACTAATCCATCCACACACCTTACATCTACTTTCAAATCAATAAAAGAGTAATCTAGAATTCTATCCCTAGATTTGAGTATTCTTGAGATAAAGTTGATTTGAGTTCTTAAGTTCCTCTTTCTTTTTGAAATTATATTCTCTATAATTGAATTGATATATGTTATGCATTGAGATTCTTGAGTTGATTCGTTTATGTCTATATTTCAACAAGTATTTTTTAGATGAGTAGTATCGTTGAGTTCTGATTACTTAGTTTTCATATTGCTATTAAGATCCCTAAGTTGAATCGTTCATGTTCATAATTCCACATGCATGAACCCCATGATTTGAGTTATAAAATTTGAAAAGTTATTTAAAACCAATGCTTGAGTCCTTAGACTGGGTTTTGAAAAAGTAAAAAGGAGTTTTGAGAAAGGATTTCTAAAACATGATTAGTATGACAATTGTGTATGTCATTAATATAACAATAGTATGATATCTACCATCAATGTTTATGCAGTATGACTTCCCGAGTCAAATGATCATATTAAAATATATTTTTATATGTTTTTTGAGAAAGAGTTTCAAGTATGAATTGAGTAAGAATATAAGGGAACTATGTATTCCTAGAGGCATCATTTTTTACATTAATAAAAGATAAATTGAGATTTCTAAATGAGCTATGAGTTCAAAAGATATTTCAAGAGCAGTTACCTCTTTTAAGAGGGTAGTTTGAGCAATTATCTCAAACCAAAGGAGGAGTTATGTTTGTAAATATATGAGCATGAGTATATGTTATTGGGAATAGTATTGAACATCGATGTGGGGACAAGTTCAGACAACTTAAAGTCCTCATAAACCATGTACTTCAACATAGAAAGGGTCATAAAATCTAGATGACTCTTTATTGCTTATTAAGCATATCTTAGTGTATCTAGTTAGTTGATGTGTTCTATACTCCGGCAATATATAAGGCAGTTATGGTAGTGTTGACGTCCAATTTTGGACCTCCACAATATAAATTAATCACCGAGTTTCTTAAATTTCAAACGAGTTGAAATAATTGGCTTCATAAAATTCAAAATATTTTTAAAGTCTTTTCTGAGTAGCTCTAGTCGCTATTTATAATTTTTAAGAGATATATATTTTTAATATGTTTTTATATACTTAGTTTATTTTATAAATATATGAAAATCGTCTCACAAAAATTTTAGTTTTATTTAACACTTTATTGAATTAATTTTGTCTAAATTTTAAGAAGCTCGCTAATTAATGAACATCAATTCTTTTTTTATTTAGATTTTAATCAAATTTGCTAATCAAACTCAATTTAGTTACGTTCAAAATCCATATGGCTATAATTGCAATCTAATTGCCAAATTTATCAATTCAATATCTGGCCATTTTAATCCTACCCTTAGATCCATTCTCAAACCAATCCAGGCCTAATTACATTCCCTCCCAGCTGAATTTCAACCCAGCCCACTCTTAGGGCCCGTTTGGATGGGCTTAATAAAAGTAGCTTTAAAAAAATACTTTTAAAAGTGCTGAAACTTATTTTTAAAATAAGCAGTTAAGCGTTTGGATAAAAGTGTTAAAGTTGTTATGTCAAACGTGAAAAGGAAAAAATGGAAGAAAGAAATGTTAGGGTTATATGGATAATTTGGAGATTGTATAAAAATATTAAGAGCAAAAAGATAAAAATGTGGTAACTTAAAACAGCTTATAAGCTAAAAAAAAAAAAGCACACCTACCCTAGTTTTTAACTTTTGGCTTAAAATAAGTTTTTTTTTAACTTAAAATAAGTTATTTTGAGTATTGCCAAACAGCTAAATAAGTCAAAAACCATTTTTTAAATCAGTTTGATCAGCTTTTAAGCTGAGCCAAGCAGATTCTTATTCCCTTCCTAAACCTGACCCATCCCTTTTCTTTTTCAAGAAAAAAGACCTAGCAATCTGTCACGACCCAAATCGGGCCGCGACTGGCACCCACACTTACCCTCCTATGTGAGCGAACCAACCAATCTAAACCTTAACATTTCAATATAATATCAACAGAAAGTAATGCGGAAGACTTAAACTCATTAATGAAAATCAATTGAATAACTTCTAAAAACTCAACAACTATTATTATCCCCAAAATCTGAAAGTCATCATCACAAGAACATCTATCCTCAAATTACTAATCTAAGAGTATCGAAGAAGCTAAAATAAGTAAAAAGTTAGTCCATGCCGGAAGTTCAAGGCATCAAGACATGAAGAGGAGGATTCCAGTCCAAGCTAGAAGAATTAGCTCACCCTGATATCCGGAGTAATGAAGACTGGCTAGAGTTGCGGTTGAGTTGAAGACGTCGGTATGTTTGCTGCACTCCACAAATAACAAAGAAAGAAACATACAAGTAGGGGTCAGTACAAACACAAGTACTGAGTAGATATCATCGGCCAACTCAAAAATAGAAAACAGTATATATCAGATAACATCATAAAATCAACTAATATCCTTAGCATGCAGCATTTACAATTACCATAACCCTTGGTTACAACACCAAGCACATCAATGAGGACTCACGCCTCTTCATCATACTCATTTGGGAATTAGATTCATTAGATTGAGTATATTAACATTTTTCAAGATTCATTATCTTTATTCCTCTCGTGTCGGTACGTGACACTCCGCTCCTCATATACTATCCTGGTGTCGGAACGTGACACTCCGATCCATATACTATCCTGGTATCGCAACGTGACACTCCGATCCTCATATGCTATCCTGGTATCGGAACGTGGCACCCGATCCATATACTATCCTGGTGTCGGAACGTGACACTCCGATCCTCATTTACTATCCTGGTACCGGAACATGGCACCCGATCCATATACTATCCTGGTGTCGGAACGTGACACTCCGATCCTCATATACTATCTTGGTACCGGAACGTGGCACCCGATCCCCTAATCTCACTACTTTCGTTCATCAAGCCTTCTTTTATACCAAGGCATCATCATTAACAAAGTAGATTAGGGTTTCTCAAGATTTAGGATTCAATAGCTTCATCATGCTTATTTTATCACAATTATATAATCATATTCATGCAAGCATACAATTAAGCATATAGAAGGTCTTACAATACTACCAATACATATCATTCGCTATTAAGAGTTTACTACGAATAGTATAAAAACCATAACCTACCTCCACGGAAGATTAGTGATCAAGCAAGCAACTTTCCCAAAGCTTTGTGTTCTCCCCTTCTCGATCGATCCTCTCTCTCTCTTCTTGTTCTTTCTATTTTCTTTATTCAAACCCTCTTTCTTTTACCCTAATTAGCATATAATTAAGAATAAAAGATGGAAATAATAACCCACTAATTAACTTAAGGTTACCTCTTTTAACCCCCAAGTAATTAGACTTATTAACATTAACCCACTAACTTTATAATTAAAGCAGGAATAGTCAAAAATGTCCCTTAAAACATTAAAGAAATCCGACTCAGCCTGGGATTACGCAGCCTGTGACGGCCCGTCGTGCCTGCGACGGTCCGTCCTGCTGCTCCGTCACAGAGTTCAGAGACTCAATTCTCTGAAGAGTCTGTGACGGTCCGTCACGCCTGCGACGGTTCGTCCTGCCATTCCGTTACGAAGTTTAGAGAGTCAA